TATAGGAAAAATCTAAGTAAACATCTCGGTTTTGATCCAAAAATAAATCCTTCTGAAGTACCACCATCACTGCCGGACAGACCTTCTACGTTGCCAGTGAGGCGAAAAGTACGTTCTAAAAGCACGAAAACAAAAGATAAGAAAACAACAGCAATACAAGAAATGTTCAGAACTGTTACACGAGGTCGAACAAGTTCAATATCATCTACGTCCTCAAACACATCAGAAGGCGATGAAGATAAATTGAATACCACTTCGATAAGCAACAGACCAAAATGGCCGCTACCCAGCACCGCTGTTTCTGGCAATAATGAATTGTATACATCTGTGCCAGACGAAGGAGTATTCTCTTCCGTTAGACCTAGAGCACGTTCTTATGAAGACAGACCTACAAAAAAGCCTGAACTTTTTAACGATAGCATTGTTTCAGTGAAGAATTGGCCGATGGCAGCTGCGTCTAACACGGGTTTGAACTCAGTGTATGATCCGATTTATAGCCAAGTGAATAAAAGTGAATCTGAAACGGATACGACTGAAATATCCAAATGTCGGTCATTTAGGAGAAGTAATAGTTCTATTGATTTAATGGTGCAAGACAGGCGTCGTTTATCACAAAGAGCCGTCGATCTTTTGACAGGAGATTTAAACGACGAGTTAATTCCAAGACACTCTGAAATACTGACTCCCGTTTTAATTTCACAGCCTGAGGAGCCGGATTTTATTGACTTTGCTACTGAAATCAGTGTACCAGAAGGTCATGAAAATATGAATGCTACTGAAAGTGGTGACGTTTGGAATCCATTTCCAAAAATAGCAGACTTTACAAACGTTATACAGCCCGAGGATGAAAATTCCGAAACACTTATACCAGAACTTAATGCATCGGATCCATTCGATATGTTTCACATTGGAGTTATAAGCTCAAGTTTTGGTTTATCTACAGAAAACTCATTCATTCATTCGGATTTCGTAACAGAACCATCAGACTTAGATAAGACTATTTATAATCCGAACGAAGAAATTTACATGGACATGGGAAATCAGACATTACGTCAGGAGCAGACTGTAGAATATGTACTTCCTACAGAAGTGTCGCGGACTTATACTTCATAATTCATGTGTAGTGCTATTTGTGTTTATTATTTAGTGGGATACCAAAGTGCTTTCAAATGTACATGTGAGATTAAAACATAAAACATATCATGAAATTAATGTGTTGTCTTTTAACCTTCTAGAAATGACTCTAAAAAGTAATCAGTTTCTTTATCTTAATACTAATATTCTGATTGATTACTTAAAAAGCAAGTATACCTATTCACAAATGGTCGTAAGTTATCAATTTGATAGTATTCATACATGTTTGTATATTGATAAGTTTTTTTTATTATAAGGAAGAGTTTTGTTGCCAGGTTTGAAACCAGAACCGTAAATGTAAAAAAGACAGAGTTTTAAAATGCTGGCAATTACAGTGAATAAATGGATATATGGAGTATACGTCAACAAGACAGCAACCAGACGAGAAAAGTAACAAAAACATCTAGAGGTCAACAAACAGTCGTATATACCCTCGTAATTTGAACTCTGGTACCATGTCTCCTTATTTTCATATTAGATAGGTGTCTATACCAGTATACGATAGACAAGATCGTACAACGTCTAAAAAAAGCAACAACAATATCCAATTCCTGAAATAAAAACATTAAGGTAATGGCATACTTTAACTACTGATTCGGTACCTGAAATTTGACAACCACAATATGTGGTGGGGTTAAACTATATTTCTAGATTTAATACGGAAGGAGTTTCGCTCATTTTTGAAGGTCATAAATTAATATACGGTGAAATATAGTTCCTTTAATCCAGCTCTTTAAGACTCTGTTGGATAATCACACCACATCTTCTCAGTTTGTATAGTAATTAAATCAACGATTTGGGTTTACATGCATATTTTCCGAGGAATCACCACCTTTGATCATCTAAATTACAGAAACATTTAAAAATCTGATTTAGCCGAACAAGTCTTAAATATGAAAATAAGAAGATGTAATGATTGGCAACGAGAACAGTCTCAACCAGAGAACAAATGACGTAGAAGTTAATAACTATAGGTCACCTTACGACCTTCAACAATGAGCAAAAAACCATACCGCATAATAAGCTATAAAAGGCCCCGAAATAACCAATTTAAAGCTGTTCAAACGAGAAATTTAACGGCCCGATTTAAGCCATGTAAAAGTAACGCGGCATACAGTTAGTTCATGCAAGATAATTCTGCATGAGGCAAATAGGTCGTTTGTTGGTAACAAATGCAACGAGGAAGATGTTAGAATGACGGATGATTTTTTGCGTTTAGTGAAATGATATATTAACTAACTGTTGATATTTCAATGTGTACAAATTGTGTACACGTACTAGCGGACTTCACACGTGGCGGCCTTCTTTTGTATCCAAATGAGACAAAATTTTTACAGAACCTTCTCAAAGACATACAGAACAGAATGGCGGTTGGTCCAAGTATAAAAATGGGCGCATATCATGTCGACGACCCCGTTCTCCCCCCCATTTTTAGAGCTCATGCGATTTCCCAGTTGTTTTGGCTTGGTTTGAACATTCAGTATTGATTTAAAAAATCTGAACATCGGTAAACTAATGTTACCTCTTATTTATTGGTTAATTTCATGTCAAAAATACTTTCATTAAACTTCCAGAATTATTTTCTTATTAATCACTACATGTATTAGTTTTGAATTGCGAAGTTAAGAAAATTCTAGCCCAATAGGAGACATGCTTTAAATTGTTACATTCGACCGTATTCATGAAGATATAATCTACCTGTAATATGTGACCATCTTGGTACCACATACACAAAACAAAATTCTTACCAACCTGAAATTTTTCTATAAGTATATATTCAACTGTGTTACTTCATTTTAGTTGTCATTTAAGTCTTTAAGTTTTCTTTAAATGTTCACTTGATATATGATACCTCTTCTTACCATGACTAAATCACAGGCTTTTGTCTCTGAAAAAAATTACCTATAAAGGTGTTCAGGTAAAAATAGGTCAGAAACAAGTGCATGCGGACAAATTTATGTTCGTTTGTTTATTTTTATTCTATGCCAAGAAAGCGATGACACAAAACAAAATACTTTAATAACAAACAAAAAACAAACCTGTTCAATCCGGAAAATATATTTGAAAATAAGATAACGAAAAATTCATACTATTCAATATGGAGACTTCCAGGCGATAGATAACACAGGGACATTCAAACTCATCGAAAATAAACTGACAACGCCATGGATAAAAAAGAAAAAGACATACAGACAAACAACATTTCACAAAACACAATATAGAAAACTAAAGACTGAGCAACACGAACCCCACAAAAAACCGGGGGTGATCTCAGGTGCTCCGGAAGGTAAGCAGATCCTGCTCCACATGCGACACCCGTCGTGTTGCTCATGTAAGTAAAAACCCGGTGATAAGTCTACCTTGGTAAGCCACATTCAGGGAAAAGGGGACGGGATGGTTGTTAGGACATTTTGAGAAGTAAGCAAAATACACTTTATTTTGCCCACCATCCCTTATATAGTGTACATCAACCATTATCACATATCTGGACAAGAACGTATAAGCATCTTTATACGGCATAATATTAAACACAAACTGAGTTCATTGAATTCTTTTCAATACTTCATTTCATGATTGACAGTAAGATTTTTTCACTGCTGTTGAACTGTTAGCCCTCGGAGGCATAATCATCGCAGTAGTCAGTGCTTCGGTACTGACATGCTTTATAATATATAAACATAGCAAGATGTGGTATGATTACCAATAAGACTATCCACCAGACACTAAATGACGAATAGGCTAGCAACTATAAGTCACCAAACGGCCTTCAACATTGAGCAAAACCCATACCTCACAGCAAACTATAGAAGGCCCCGAAATGAGAAAATATAAAACAATTAAAGATAAAAAAAATACCAACGGCCTGATCTATATACTTAACCATAACTGAAAAAAACAAATATCATAGACAGTGACTAATGACAACGACCGACTTAAATGCTCCTGAATTGGGATAGGTAAATGCGGGGTTAAATGTGTTAGCGTGGAACCCTCCTATAACATGGGACAGTGGTGTAACAGCACAATAAAGAACAAACTAAAAAAAGACTAAAGACTCGAAGTACCGATCTAACAGTATTCGCGATTACTGAAAGACGGTTCAAAGCTAATTACAACTAATTAATCCAAGACTAAACCATATTTACCGTTCTCAAATTCTACGTCGATTGTTTTATATCATTAAGAAACTAAGGTCCCAACTAAAGTCATTAAGATTCTAACACAATGTTGACTGCTGCACCCCGATTTTTGTTATTTTTTTTTTATTATGTCTGTTTGTTTTGTTCACATATTGTTGTCAATATAATGGAATTATATGCGACTGTCATACAAGTGAGAGGTTTAGCTAGGTATAAAACCAGGTTTAACCCACCGTTTTCTACATAAGGAAATGCCTGTACCAAGTCAGGAATATGACAGTTGTTTTCCATTCGTTTGATTTGATTGAGCTTTTGATTTTGCCATTCGAAAAGGGACTTTCCTTTTAGAATTTTATTTGGAGTTCGGTGTTTTTGTTATTTTACTTTTTACCTCGGGTCAAGTTAACTAAAGGTTGGTTTGTCTTTTTTTTTTTTAATCATAATGATCTTAACGTTGCAATTTATAATATATCCTTGAATCTCAAATTTTGAGTTGGGCATTCCTACTGAATGTAAATCCAAATATATAAAAGTGTTATTTTCATTATTGAAAGTTTTACAATGTGTGATCTTAAGTGTTATGTTTTTATTTTGGAATTTTTATCTAATATATAATAAATCAAGTTTTATGTTTGTTCTCTCTCAATATAAATAATGTATGGAAAAGATGCACATCTATCAGACAATATACCAATTATAAAAACTGAGAAAAAACGAACGAGCAAATCTTTTCAAGATAGTACTGTCAATTATATTATGAGCAGTTTGGGATACGAGCTCAAAACGGATATAATAGCCAAATAAACATAAAAAAAGTAGTCAGTATATTGAACATTCAATAACAAAAAGTATCTAGTCCAAGTACTTATATTGATAATTGACATTTCACGCACCATTTAGGATCTATATATAAACCAAATATGGAGAGTGATAAAAACCTATTTAATAATTCTGTTACACATTTTTGCATCAGCCAACTAGCTAGGACAGTATGTATGTATCAAAATGTTGCTAACAAATTAATTGAATGTGATTTCATCTTTGTCAAAGACCATCTATCCACAGACATCTATTTTTTTTTATAGACAAAGGAAATTAGAGATGAGTGTTTTAGAGCTAGTTTGTGTTCTTTGGTTGACTATTTCTCGTTGATCGTACAAAAGTAGTTTAAAGTCTAAGATCTTTTGCGATCTTCCAATACTTTGTTTTCCTGATTTTTACACTGTTGTGTAAATACAACCAAAATGATAAACCTTTCTGTATTTCGTTGGTTAGTTTCTGGACAATATATATATACGGACTCTACATATCTGGTTTGGCAGCTTTAGAAAACATGTATCAGCAACGACTGCAGATGGGTCAATATGTTAAATATGTCTTGAGCGACATCAAAATAACCACTAGTAGAGCATGAACTGCTTACATACTTCGCGCACCTGGTTACATCCACGTATTGACATTTTCCTAAGCAATTTGATAAAGCTAGTTGAATTTGTATTGTCAGATACATTTACAAGTTTTTGTTTACCAAATGCTCAAAATAATTATATATTTCTGCAATTCTTAGAAGCCACAATTCAGTCCTCAATTTATGAATATTACATCACCGAATGACACTTGTCGTCGCAAATTACACGTCTTAATAACAACACGACAATTGCAACCTGTTGTGCAGAATCTGCTTACAATTAGGAATCATATGAATACATCCACAGTTTTTGAAGGGTTAGTGTAGCTCAAACTTAATTTTTCGGTTTAAAAGTTTTTTGTTTGTCTTTTTTTGTGTCTGACTTTATTCAAAATATGTTTTTCAGTAACCCAATATATCTCCTATGATTTTATTACATTTTTTAATTTTACTCTGAAAATTTTTATTTTTTTGTTCACCAAACATTCATATTTTCTAACTTAGATAAAGCAGAGACTTTAGCTTAAGCCAATGACTTTGATTATCTGTACGGTTACCAGTTTCGTTTTCGTCCAAAGCCATTTCAATGAAACATACATCATTTGAAATATTTACAATTTCGTCTGGAATATCCTTGATTCGAATATTTTGTAAAATGACAATTATTTTTCTCAGGTTTGTAGTATATTTTTCATACTTTGCTCTTTCTATTTCGAATCTACCCCACTTTCCTTCCGTAAAATGTTCAGTTATGATGAAAACAACATGCCTACTTTGCTGAATTGATTCTGCTTTTGCATCTGCAGTAAGATCTCCAGGAAGAAGGTCTCGATCATGTAAGAACACTTTAAGTCCCCAATCATCTTCAATTTTTGGTAGAAGAAACTTTTGTATCCACGCTACGCTTCGGTCTTCATAGGAAACATATGCGTCGTACATATAGTTTTCGTGTAAATTTTTCTCAACAACACGCCGGACTTTCCTATACATGTAAAGAATGATATTCCATCTATAGTTATAAAGAAGGGAAAGAGGTACGAAAATACCAAAGGCACTAGCAACCAGTGCTATACCAACATAAAGCCATACAGTTGCTTTGCAGTCTGCGAAGTACTTCTTTGTATTGTTTGATACTTCCCTTAATCGGATTTGCTGCTTGTTTTTTGACATGATACAGGTATAATTACCTCCGTTATAAAATGTTACGTTTGTATTTTCAAACCACTGGAGAAAATCCAGAGTGTCACACGAGCAAATAAAAGCATTGTTATCCAAATTTAGGATAGGAAAACGATTTGAATGGACCATTTTATCCAACCAAAGCCTTACGTTATCGTCAATAGAAGTAATCAAATTATTGGAAAGGTCCAAAAATTCTAACTTTTGAAGCTTTGTAACAAACGTAGGAATGGTCCTGAATAGGTTATTTGACATATTTAAATGCGTTATATGTGGCTGCTCGAAGGATGTTGTTTCCCCCAACGTCCAAATACTATTAAAAGATATGTCTACTTCTCTCAACTCAGGAGCTCGAAAAGACATCCATTTTTTACCTTTAAGTACAATTTGGTCGATGCGTGCATTCGTCATTTTTAGTATGGAGAGTTTTGGCAAAAATATTGATGGAAATGTAATAAATGCTACTGGAATTCCAGAAATGTCCAAATATTCAAGCTGCTTTCCACAGTCTTCAGCCAAATCTGGATAACGTTGGTAAACACCAAATGATACATCTAGATATTTAAGCGATGTGTTGGTACATATTATATGAGCTGAAGAAGGGGCGATTTGTATATGAGTAAATCTAAGAAATTCTATTGATGCTGGAAGGCTATAGTTTATGTCCCAACGCGGAGGAATTTGAAAATATTTCGTACTTTTTGGAAAATGATAAAAATCTTCCGTGTGGTATACGTTTATATAGACAGGATGAGCATAATCTATAGTCAGGTATGAACAATCGTAAACCTTCATGTTAATAGCGTTTATGAAAAAATTATAGACTTGATTGGAATATGTAGTCGTTGCAGGTAGTCTATTAGCGGATATAATGAAAGTTTTGAAACATGCTGGATGTTCAAACGAAAACAGCGAATTTTGCTGGTAATCTACGATTCCTGTTTTCGACAAGTCCAATGCTTCAATACAGATAGTTCTTAAATATTTTATTAATTCTACTGTTATAACAACAGAGTACGGGTAATCGTCTTCATTGATTGAACTATCACTTATGTGGTGAAAGTTTATAACGGACATGTTCTTATTCTGAAACGGATGAAGAATACGTAATGCTTGATACAAGTGTACGTATGATTCGGACAGATCTAAAATTTTTAATTGAGGAAAGAATTCCAACAATCCATCTTCGAGTAGAAAAAAATGGCGACAGCCGCTGATATAGACTTCTTTCAGGTTTGATGAGAAATGTTTAAATGTTGAATTCAATAGCCGAAATCCGCTGCTATTTCTTAAATAACATCGAACAAATTTCAAAACAGTAAGGTTTTGAAGGGAACTAAATCCTGCTCCAAATTCAGGGAACATGAATAAATCAATTGAAAGATTTTGCAAGGAACGCAATGTAGAAAATGCACCATCAGGATACACAAACGTAGTGTTTTTGTTCAATGGCTTGTTATTTCGACTTATATCCAGATCAATAAGATAAATAAGATGTCCGAAAACTCCCTTTGGAAGAATTGTGATGTAAATCAAATTATCATTTACCTTCAAAACTTTAAGCAAATGCAGTCCAGCAAAAGCATCCTCCTGGATTTCAGATATTAGATTCTTGCTCAAGATCAAGATTTCCATTTTCGCATAATGGACGAATGAATCGTTTTGGAGCTTGCGTATCAAGTTATTTGAAAGAAGTAACTCATTAATATCTCGACTAAGATTCCTTGGCACAGAAGTAAAACCTTGATTTTCACAATGAGCAATCAGCTTATGTTTTATATTCCTTCTGTACGTACAAGACATTGATTGGTTCCCAATTACTGATATTATCATGATTGATAAAAGGAACATGCGTCTTATCTGAGTCATTTTTATATCTAAATATTTTTATCCAATTATGATTTCTGCTCCATACAGAAAGAATCCCAACTAAATTCTTTTAAATACCCTTATGCATGACATACGTTATAATCATTCCCAACCGATACCGGTATATTTAAAAACTTTAACTTAATGTTTGTACTTCAAATCTCAATCATTCTTAAAGCGAACTACCTTGGGCATTCTATTTTTAAAAGTTATAAAGTACATGTACATGACTAACAATTGCAAGATTAATTTACAATCTATTAAAATGTTATTATGACTTTAAATTTGCCATAGGTGTGATATATGATTTTCTACTTTTAAAAAATGAATATACACGTTGTTTGATATCAACTCTGTACTAAAATATCTCTTCGAATAGTTTTGTTTTTCACATATTGTATAGTATAGAAGGGTGTGTTCACGTTTCTCCAACATTTGATATTCTTGTATACAGTATAATTATTTCTTGTTGGTGAAACTTGATAATTATGTAATAAGAAAAACATTATTTTACCTGTAATTAGAGTTACAGTGAATCCAGTGTATATGAAACAAAAGATCTGAGAGAAAATAAATTTACCACATTATTGTACAAAAATGTTTTAAATTTTTAAATTTAATCATACATTCCCATCTGAATATGCTGTTTAACTATCAAACATACCAGTGGAAGTCTGTCTTCCTGGTTAGAGAAATAATACTTGTATATTGTTATTTATTTTCACTCATGCAAAACAAAATATGTATTAATATATGAACTGTAGCTATGTACAGAATAAAATCAAATGCTGATTTGAAGGGGAAATATACATCATGCCAAAAAAGCACTGTTCACTCGCGTAGTCATGAGTATTAACCATATATGGATTTAAAAAAATCTAAAGAACTTCTGGATAATTTTAAATCTCGATCTTTTTCTGAAATCTATTCTATCAAAACTTTTGATTTTTTAACCCTGTATTCCACCATTTCCCATGTGAAATTAAATAACCGCCTAAAAGAAATAATTCACAATGCTTTTCAATAAAAAACATGGTAGCATACGCTATAAATTTATTGCTTTTGGATACCATACGGCATATTTTGTTAATAGTGAACAAAAAGGTAAAACATGATACACAGATGAACAAGTAATCATTATGCTGGCATTTCTTATTGACAACATATTTGTTGAATTCGGAGGAAAACTTTTTTCTACAAAATGTCGGCATTCCTATGGGAACGAACTGTGCGCCTCTCCTTGCCGACATCTTCTTATTTACATATGAGTCAGAGTTCCTTCAAAAACAAGAAGATCAAAAAAGCCAGATCATTTAATTTCACATTCAGATATATTGATGATGTTCTTTCCATTAACAATCCAAACATTCCTGATTGGATTCCATTAATATATCCTCCAGAACTTGAAATTATAAAAACAACAGACACGGCTTCCTCCGCCTCATTATTAGACTTATACCTCGAATTTGACATAAGCGGTCATTTTAGTACCAGGATCTATGACAAAAGAGACGATTTTAATCTTGAATTTATAAATTTCCCCAACCTTAGCAGCAATATACCAACTTCATCTGCATGTGGGATATAAATGTCCCAACTCATTCGGTATTCAGGAGCTTGCAGCAGCTGCTACTCCGACCTTATAAAACGTCACCAGTGTCAGAGCAGAAATTTGATGAACCAGGGTTATGTCAAAGAACGTGTCGTCCTTTTTCTAAAAACGTTCATCGGAAAATACCAAGACCTTGTTGATAAATATTCCGTATCAACCTCACAAATAATACATGATGGTCTTGAAGTATAGATTCTAGGTACTGACGTTGTTTATTATCATAATTACATGTTATACTGTTTGGTTTTATTTGTCTTTGTATATTTTCAATCTTTACTGTTTAGTCCATTTTTTGGTAATAAATATTTTTGGCGTGGCTCGGTATTTATACATCCCGCCATTGTGTTATTGTGCTATAGACTTTTTTTGTATTCTTGTCTTTCTTTTTTGCTTATGTACTTTGTCTTCAAAGTGTCTATATGCCATTTTGTTTTTCTTTGTTGAAATAGTTATTTGTCTTTATAGTGATTAAGATTATAACACTATGTTGACTGCTGTACCCACATTTTTGACATTTTACTTATTATGTCTGTTTGTTTTACTCACACATTGTTGTCAATATAATGGAATTCTATGCGACTGTCTTACAAGTGAGAGGTTTAGCTAGGTATAAAACCAGGTTAAACTCACCATTTTCTATATAAGGAAAAGCCTGTACCAAATCAAGAATATGACAGTTGTTTTCTATTCGCTTAATGTGTTTGAGTTTTTGATTTTGCCACTTAATAAAGGACTTTCCGTTTGGAATTTTCCTTGGAGTTCTGTATTTTTATTATTTCACTTTTTCCATACACCAACAGTAGTGACAACAAAGGAACTTAGAGGACAGGCTATGCATATTACCAATCAGGATGACCAACATTTGAAAGAACTTATAAACAAAATGCAATATAAAATCATGAATTAAGCAAAAAGTTTGTTTTCATAAAACGACAAGATATAAATGATACTGATCAAATGAATATGCACAGGAATCGTTCTTTAGGTAAAGACACTGCAATTGTATTATAAAGCAAATTTTAGACGTCAATCATTCAAAGTCAAGTTATGTAATTCATAAATACTTTCAGACAGGTACAATATTAAAAATAATAAAGATGTACCAAATACTATTTTGGAAACAAGGAGATTTGATTTATAAGTTTTTTGATTTATATGTTACTTTAAATTTGAAACTTTGCAATGTAACTTACTTTGGCGGAATACAGTATAACCATATCATAAATTGAGCTAAGACTACAATTCGGAATGGGTTGATAACATCTTTCGATCACACTAACTTCTGAGCTTTACTGGAAAACTACAGAATACACATGTATCAGATGCAGGGCAGAATTCTCAAAAACTATCAAGTGGACTTTAACGTGGACAATATCATCAATACGGTAGTGGGATTCGAATGCAGAATCTACACGCACAACAAGGCAACAAGAGATTATACCGAGGTGAGACCACCGTGAACCTCATTAGCATCAACAGCATTTTAATCAACAGTGATTTCATCAGAGGCAGCTTTGTTAACGGGTCACAATATTCTATCATCTACAATTGTTTCTCCTATGCAGCTGGCATAAAGATCATTCAGAGCTTCAAACACTTGGTATAGACATAATACCACAAATTGACATGGTTTGGTTAAGCACTTGACATGGTTCGGATAAGTGTTCCAAATTTTGTCATGGTTTTTATTGCATTTGTCATGGTTTGCATAAAGATTGATGCATATTAGTTTCACGATAGTTTGTTCAAATGTGTCGTTAAAAAACAAAGTTACACAATGTTCCCAGTGACTAATAAGAAAGTAACCTTTTTAACTTTAATGGTTATAGTCTTTGAACCGTACATGAAAAATCTTAGTTATAGTTCGTATCAAAAGATAGCATAGCTCTGAATTATATAATCAATATTGGCATAACTCCTTTGTTCTGCCATTCAATGGAACTTTTTTTCGCCTTAAATGAAATGTACCTCCATATGTTATTTACGAATGGTTTGTTTAATGTGTTAGCTAACAAGATAACTACTGTCAGCAGAAAATCATGTCTGTCATCATACCTGGGCACGATAATTTGACATCGATATCAGTCTGATTTAACTTCTAAATGTTGCATGCTTGTATGGAGAAGCAGCACATGCAAGTCAAAAACATTTGACCCGGTCTGGAATCGAACTCATAGTATGGTGGTCCCAATCAAGCTAACCATGTCACTATAGCCTGCGACTACTATAATTATTGTGTAAAGTTGTCCAAGCCATAAATGGAGACCAGTCAGGTGCTTGTAATTCAGTGGCTTTGGGTATTTACCAACGTTTTCGAAAATTGGATCAAGATCGATTCAAGGCATTTCACCTTTCTTCCATTTTAGTTGTTTTATTACAAGAAGGTAATGTTGATGTTCCAAAGAAAAGTTTAAATTATCTAATGTTATCAGATTCTGTTTTAAAGAGTTTGTGGAATACAGAAAATCACCAAAGGTCTGTTGAGCTATAAAGTTGAAAAGAAAAATTTTATTAGATTTTAGATTTTAATTTTTGCAAAGTCAAATACCGAGTATACCTTTACACTTACAGAATGGGATCAATTTGTTATCATTATATAGGTGATTTTAGGATCAGACTGCTATAACTAGTTCAGTTATAATCAATCATACATGACTTGTACTTGATTACAACGCATGTTTGTTTACTGTCGGTCCTATATATGGAGCATTGATATTGAACTGAAAGTAGGAAACCTTTTTTACAGATTTAAGGTTTAAACTTCATGAGACACACTTTGCCTTTTCCTTTTATGTCATTTAGCTTGAGATCTTTATCATAACCCCCCCCCCCCCCCCCCCCCCCCCCCAAAGTACCTGTTGTGGTTTCGTTGTGGATGAATTTAACTTAAGAGTGTTTCCGAAGATTAAAAACCAAGGAAAGAAACACGCAAAATTTTTGCAATTATTTCAGACAGAAACCAATTTCAGTGTTTTTGTGGAGTTTGCATGGTTTGTGTATGTCTTACAGAAAAGTTAGTCGTCCTTATACTAGCTTTACTATAATAGCCCTATTTTATACGATTGTACATCCGAAAATTGTCAAAGGTCTTTTCAAAGGTCAATCCCATACTGAAATTAAAGCGCGAAAGCGCTGGAAAAAAACATTTGTCGTATACTATTAAAGGAATATGCATGCGTCATTATGAGAAAATCGTTGTTAACTATATAAAAACGTTACGTCAAATTTCGTATCAGAACATACACGTTTATTTCTATACTGAATTTATTTGTTGGATGCTTTTAAGAATTGCATATGACATTTCTATCATTTAAAGCTTATCGATAAAGCGAGGGAACTAATCATATTCGTCAAAAAGAAGGTATGATATTCTGTATGGCTTACCGTTTAAAATCTTTTAGACTTTGAACAAATGCACCATCTTTTGCAAAATTATCCTAGTATCAGTAAATTATTTTTAAGATACAATATTTTGTATTTTTTGAAGTGCGCAAATGTGATTGAATAATTTAA